TAACGCAAGTTTTGGAACCCCAAAAATTCTAAAATAAATTGCTGGACGTGAGGAATTCATCTATTAATCATATTCAAAAATAATTAACTAAATATCACCTTCCAAATAAAAATGGCAGCGATTCTCGTGAGCGCTAACGTTTCTGTTTTTTACAGCAATATCAAAAGGACTTTCCCCAAGTCTTCCCAACGATTCTACTTGGCACAAACACTAATTAAACACAAAAAAACACAACCAAAACAGAGGTTAGATAAATTATTTATTGAATAACAGCAAGGAAAAATATTGGGTTGTCTCCCAACAAGCGCTTTTCTTTAAAGCCTTATAGCTAGGCATAATATTTCAATGATGCTCACATGAAAGACAAGAATTGAAGCACAAAGAGAGCATCATAAAACACGTGACAAACACATCTAAGTCTAACATACTTCCTATGCATAGGCATCTTATAGGAAAACAAATTATCAAGGCAAGCAAAAACTAGCATATGCAAGGAAGCGAAAAGAAACAATAGCAATCTCAACATAATGAGAGGTAATTTAGTAACGTGAAAATTTCTAACACCATATTTTACTCTCTCATAATAATTACATGTAGGATCATAAGCAAATTCAACAAAATAGCTATCACATAAAATATTTTCAACACGATCCACATGCATGCAAAGTTGACACTCTTCCAAAATAGTGGGATTAACATTAACTAAAGTCATGACCTCTCCAAACCCACTTTTATCAAAAAATTCATAAGATTGAACATTCTCCAAATATGTGGGATCTAAAGTTGACACTATTCCAAACCCACTTTCAATAATATTGCAAACACTATTATCAATCTCATATTCATCATGGGTCTTAAATAAATTTTTAAGATCATAAGAAGAATCACCCCAATCATGATCATTGCAACAAGTGGAGGACAAAGCAAAACTAGCATCCCCAAGCTTAGGGTTTTGCATATTATAAGCACAATTGACATTAATAGAATTTATACTATCATCAATGCAATCGTGCTTTTTATTCGAAGATCCATCGTGAATCACTCCATAAAGTACTTCATCACAATTTTCAGATTCACGAATTTTAAGCAAAACTTCATAAAGATAATCTAGTGCACAAAACTCACTAGCAATTGGTTCATCATAATTGGATCTCTTAAAAAAGATTAGCAAGCGGATGAGGATCCATAGATCTTAGGTTCTTTGTTTAGTAATAAATAAACAACTATTCCAACCAAACGAGCAAACGAGCCAAGTAAGACATCAAAGCAAATGGAAAGACGAACAGAAGAAGGGCGAATAAAATGGCAAGGGTGAAGTGGGGGAGAGGAAAACGAGAGGCAAATGGCAAATAATGTAATGCGAGGGATAAGAGTTTGTGATGGGTACTTGGTAATGGCGCCAGAAATGAATCGTTGTTGGAGTCAAATCTTGACTTGACTTGGTGCGAATCTCCGCGGCAACGGCGCCAGAAATCCTTCTTGCTACCTCTTGAGCACTGCGTTGGTTTTCCCTTGAAGAGGAAAGGGTGATGCAGTAAAGCAGCGTAAGTATTTCCCTCAGTTTTTGAGAACCAAGGTATCAATCCAGTAGGAGATCACGCTCAAGTCCCACGCACCTACACAAACAAATAAGAACCTCGCAACCAACGCGATAAAGGGGTTGTCAAGCCCTCCTCGGTCACTTACGAGAGTGAGGTCTGATAGATATGACAAGATAATATTTTTGGTATTTTTATGATAAAGATGCAAAGTAAAATAAATGGCAAAGGAAATAACTAAGTATTGGAGGATTAATATGATGAAAGATAGACCCGGGGGCCATAGGTTTCACTGGCTTCTCTCAAGAGCATAAGTATTACGGTGGGTAAACGAATTACTCTCGAGCAATTGATAGAATTGAGCATATTTATGAGAATATCTAGGTATGATCATGTATATAGGCATCACGTCCGAGACAAGTAGACCAAAACGATTCTGCATCTACTACTATTACTCCACACATCGACCGCTATCTAGCATGCATCTAGAGTATTAAGTTCAAGAGAACAGAGTAATGCTTTAAGGAAGATGACATGATGTAGAGGGATAAACTCATGCAATACGATATAAACCCCATCTTTTTATCCTCGATGGCAACAATACAATACGTATCGGTTCCCTTTCTATCACTGGGATCGAACACCGCAAGATTGAACCCAAAGCTAAGCACTTCTCCCATTGCAAGAAAGATCAACCTAGTAGGCCAAACCAAACTGATAATTCAAAGAGACTTGCAAAGATAAACCAATCATACATAAAAGAATTCAGAGGAGAATCAAATATTGTTCATAGATAATCTGGATCATAAACCCATAATTCATCGGATCTCGACAAACACACCGCAAAAGAAGATTACATCGAATAGATCTCCAAGAAAATCAAGGAGAACTTTGTATTGAGATCCAAAGAGAGAGAAGAAGCCATCTAGCTAATAACTATGGACCCGTAGGTCTGAAGTAAACTACTCACAAATCACCGGAGAGGCCATGGAGTTGATGTAGAGACCCTCCGTGATCAATGCCCCCTCCGGTGGAGCTCCGAAAAAGGCCCCGAGATGGGATCTCTCGAGTACAGAAGGTTGTGGCGGTGGAATTAGGTTTTCGTGGTGCTCCTGGATGTCTGGGGGGTACGTGGATATATATAGGAGGAAGAAGTACGTCGGTGGAGCAACAGAGGGCCCATGAGAGTGGAGGGCGCGCCCAGGGGGGTAGGCGCGCCCCCTACCTCGTGCCTTCCTCCCTTGTTTCTTGATGGCCACTCCAAGTCTTCTAGATCATGTTTGTTGAGAAAATCACATTCCCGGAGGTTTCATTCCATTTGGACTCCGTTTGATATTCCTTTTCTTCGAAACCCTAAAATAGGCAAAAAAAACAGCAATTTGGGCTGGGCCTCCGGTTAGTAGGTTAGTCCCAAAAATGATATAAAAGTGTAAAGTAAAGCCCACTAACATCCAAAATAGGTAATATAAAAGCATGGAGCAATCAAAAATTATAGATACGTTGGAGACGTATCAAGCATCCCCAAGCTTAATTCCTGCTCGTCCTCGAGTAAGTAAATGATAAAAGAAGAATTTTTGATGTGGAATGCTTTCTAACATATTTCTTAATGTAATTTTTTTCTTTATTGTGGCATGAATGTTCAGTTCCATAATATTCAAGATAAAATTTTAATATTGACATAAACATAATAATACTTCAAGCACACTAACTAAGCAATTATATCTTATCAAAATAACATGGCCAAAAAAAGTTATCCCTATAAAATCATATAGTCTGGCTATGATAAACAGGGTTGTTCACTATGTTAATTGTGGCCTGATTATCACAATACACTTGAATAGGTGCACCAACGCATACCTAGCAACTCAGTTAGCAATGTTTTTAACCACATCAGTTCACACAACAATGAAGCCATTGACCTAAACTTCGCTTTTGCTGTCGAGCGAGCTACCACACTCTGCTTCTTACTTCTCCAACTAACCAAATTTCCTCCGACAAACATGCAGTAGCCCGAAGTTGAACGCCTATCATCGAAGCATCCAGCCCAGTCCACATCGGTGTACCCCTCGATTCTCGGATGTCCATGATTAGTGTGTTGGGGAACGTAGTAATTTCAAAAAATTTCCTACGCACACACATGATCATGGTGATGCATAGCAATGAGAGGGAAGAGTGTGTCCACGTACCCTCGTAGACCGAAAGCGGAAGCGTTAGCACAACACGGTTGATGTAGTCGTACTCTTCACGATCCGACCGATCCAAGTACCGAACGCACGACACCTCCGAGTTCTACACACGTTCAACTCGATGACGTCCCGCGAGCTCCGATCCAGCAAAGCTTCACAAGAGAGTTTCGTCAGCACGACGGCGTGGTGACGGTGATGATGATGCTACCAACGTAGGGCTTCACATAAGCACCGCTACGATATGATCGAGGTGGATTATGGTGCCCCCTTGCCCCGTTCGCCTAAGCACCGCTACCGACACGTTCAATTATGTGTCTATGGGGTGCCCCCATATATAAAGGAGCAAGGAGGAGGAGGCGGCCGACCAAGGAGGGCGCGCTAAGGGGGAGTCCTACTCCCACTAGGAGTAGGACTCCTCCTATTCCTAGTAGGAGTAGGAGAGGGGGAAGGAAAGGGAGATGAGGAGAAGAAAAGAGGGGCCCGGCCCCCCTTGCCCTAAATCAATTCGGTTTGGGCCTTGGGGGGGGGCACACTCCCTTTGCTTCCCTCTATTTCCACTAAGGCCCATGTAGGCCCATTAAGCCCCCCCGGGGGGGGTGGGTAGTTCCGGTAACCCCCGGTACTTCGATATATGTCCGAAACCTTGTTGTTGAACACACCTAATTAGAGAGGATTCGAAGGTGAGAGAAGGGGAAGACACTGGAATTTCTAGTCGGGGGCAACCTTATCCATTCATCCTCAGAACAGATATTTACAGAGCTTCATTTTTACAAATAAGACCTCTGGCTTTCCTATTATACAACAAGAGTACCGACACAAAGTCCCAAGAAAGTTGTGGCATTTTCTCAAATTGCTCGAAAGTTTGCCGCCACACTTTACCACACCTGCATTTTCATGCAAGACAGACATAGATAGGGAATTTGCAGCTACGGCAAGCTATATCCGCATCATACTCTACATTGCTTCTTTTGAGTGGTTAAATTTGTCAATGTGCATGATAGAGCATGCTATTTTAAATACACAGTAAGAGTTAATATTTCATTTGAACTTTAAAAGTATGTAACACAGTTTTTATGATTCTACTTCTTGCTAGCATTCAGATTTGTATGGAAAATACATACAAAAAAGAAATAAAAGACGCCTCAGGGGAAATAAACACCTAGGTCTTTTAATCAAGGAGAGCGTATGACGGACCATCATTGTGAGCACGGAGGCTCGAACGCAGGCGGGAAACATTCAAATATACAAGCACCTATCCCCATGATGAAACCCAGAATCAAACACTCTGCAAGCGAGAGCGCTTCTTGTTCACCACCATACGCCGCGATGTCATTATGCTGCAGCTCACCAGGTAGCTGTAGTAAGGGGGTATCCGAGACTTCCACGCTAGGAATTCACAATTTCCACGCGGTATAGCACTTCCAGATACGACATCCAGCAATGTTAGCTTTGGAACGTCCTGCTGCGGAGAGCAGACCTGATGAACACCATTGGCCACAAGGACTTCGGAACCGCCGCCTGCCATCCTCCAAAGGTATATAGGCCGCCCTTTCCGCATCAGATCGACCGGATGCTCGCCAAACATGAGCACATGCTTGGCAGTGAACTCTCTGATGCGCTCGAGAGCCTTGCGCCAAAACCGGGCACTGAGATTTGCTCTCAGCAGGGTGCCGATTATGCTTGCATTGATGAAAGAGGCGTTGAGCTCAGCTGCAATCTCCATGGCTATGGATGATAGCTCTGAATAGTCCTCCGGGCCGGCGTCTCTGAAGGCAATCATCTTGAAGAAGTACCAGTAAGCTTCATGGGGCAAAGCATTCAGTCTGAGAGCCTGGGTTGTTCCGAACCGCATGATTCTCTCTGACCTGCCTGTAACTATGACTTTGCTCCCGTGTGCCATATGGCTCAGTAAAGAGCACAACCTGCTCCATATTTCCTTTTCCAAATCCCCAATCAGCTCCACAACGACCAGCAGCCTCCCATGTGAAGCGCTGTTTCTGTACTTGACAACACCGCTGTCTTGCAGAGCATTCGCTTCCGTGCCTTGGAGTTGGAGATCATCCTCGCCGAGGAACACGATCGAGGAGAAGTAGCCGCGCACCCTGCCGTCGTAGCAGACATGCTCAACGAGGGTGCTCTTCCCGACCCTTGCGGGTCCGACTACCGGAAGAACACCGAAATTTGCTGTGCCAGGGGGGCCAACCTGCAGCAGGAAGCTCACGATCCTCTCGTATTCCGTGTGACGGCCGAACATGCACATGTCCGTAGACAAGTAGCTGCTGCAAGGTTGCCGGCACAGCAGAGGATAGCACTTCAAGAACACCACAAACTCCTTCATGTCGGCGACAGTCGTCTCAAGGCAACAAAGCGCTTTGCTGAGCTCGTTGCCGTCGAACACCATGTTCTTCGGCGCCCTGGCAGAGAGGCAGAGCCGCTTGACGGGACTGAATCGGCACAGCATAAGCGAGCGGTCGCTCACCTCATCTTTGGCCGTGGCGTCGCCTTCTCCGCGGCGTATGCACGTGAGGGCGTCGAGCATGTAGTAGCCTCTGTACATGTCGTTCCTCAGCATCTCAAGCTGCCGGAGCATCGCCTGGTTGGTGATCTGCCGCCGCTCGGCCTCCTCGACGGTGGCCTGGACTCGCAGCAGAAGGCGGCGCAGCCGTTGCAGGCTCTCTTCCGCTCCTCCGGCCTGCAGCCGGTGGTACCTGTCGACGAGGAAGGATACGGACCTGCTTATAATATCGCCAAGAACTGCAGAGACGATCACCTCCATCTTGAATCCTTTGGGGTAGAAGGGGAAGGAGATGCCTTGTTCGTTTGCTCTCTTTTAGAAGGCTTTATTCACGAATCGGCAGTGCTGGTTTCAGCCAAAAGATCTGTAAGGCTCTGTGACTGAGGTTGGAAAGAGAGCCTTGGAGTAGCCGCGAGGGAAATGTCAAGTCGCCAACCATTAGATCGCACCCTGGCTGTCAACGTCAGAAAGTAGCAAGTCAAAGCACAGAGGAGAATACAACTGGTAATACTTCAATCAGTATCAGAGGGCCTGGTATACATTGCAATTTTGTGCTGAAAACCATCTGGATTTTACATTTTAGAAACAAACAAACAAAACCCCGTTGAAACTTGTTACTACCTCCCTCCGATCCATAATAAGTTGGATCGGAGGGAGTTGTATATATCCCGCTTGCTGCAAACCATATTTTCACAGAGTGTCAGGACAAACCCCAGTTCCGTCCACGCTGGATTCAGATATGCAAAACTAACTGACGCTTAAGGATGCTAGCGGAGGGGCGATGTGAACAACTCAAATTGAGATTCTTGCTGACCGCGAGAAACTCGTCACTCTAGAAAGCGCTCTTGTGACCATTCATCACTCTCAAATCTTCGTGAAGTTCTACAGATCCATGGTACTAGCTCCGCCACAAATTATAACACCGTTTTAGGGTTTAAAGTCAATATTCTAGCCATGTTTTCCCCCCTTTTCGTGTGGGGGATCTTTAGTACTGTCTCAAAATAAGTGTCGCTGATTTACTATAAAATTGTACTGAATCGGCGACATTTATTTTGAAACGGAGGGAGTAGTTTGGTTGGAAAATTTAGCAGGCTTGATTGGGACATGAATCAATGTTCTATACATTTCTTTCATGTATCAAAATAAAGAATATTGCTTTTTTATTTTGAGGGAAGAATATTGCTTTATTAGTAGTACTGACTCACTGTCGTATTGGGTCAATTTCGACGGCCTTGTTGTCAAAGTTACGGCGGGTCCATCTGTCCATGGGCAGAAGCCAGGACTTCTATGCCTCAACCCGAACCACAAGTTGGTCTTTCCCTCTTCTCTTCTTTGGTAGATCCATCTATCCCACCAGGAACATTGCAGGGGCCTTCCGAAATGGAGCCGCTTCTCTCTGCAATCGTGGGTGATCTTGTCAGCAGAGCCCTGTCCATGGTAACCCAGAGATACCTGCAGTCCAAGGGAGCAGAGGAGGAGAAGCTCCAGAGGCTACGGGCAGTGCTGCTAAGGATCGATGCCACCGTCGAGGAGGCCGAGGGGAGGCACATCACCAACCAGGCAATGGTCCAGCAGCTCCAGATGTTGAGACGAGGTATGTACAGAGGCTACTACACGCTCGACACCTTCAGATACCGAGCGCACAGGGACGAGGCCGATGGCAAGGCGAGCACTCGCCGTTCGCTTGCCCTGTCCAGATTCAGCCCTTCCAGTTCCAGACGTACCTCCTCCTCCGTGTGCGATGCCCAGAGGATGGACCTGGTGCTTGATGCCGGGAGCTGCAACAATCTCGACAAGATGCTCAGCAGCCTTGAGAGAATGATTGGTGACATGCAGGAGTTCGTGATGTTCTTGGGCAGCTATCCTCGAATCTCCCAGCAACCTTACGACGCGTATTTGTTTCATGATCAGGTTATGTTTGGCCGGCAGATGGAAAAGGAGACAATTTTGAGCTTTCTGCTTTGTAGAGAGGCTGCAAGGAATGGAAGTCTGGGTGTGCTGCCGATAATTGGTCCAGCGAGAGTCGGAAAGAGTACACTTGTTGAGCATGTCTGCCTTGACGAGAGGGTGCGGAGGCGCTTCTCGTCGATCGTCTTCTTCAGCGGAAATGATCTCAATGGTGGAAACTTGGCCACTCTAAAAGGTAGCGGTGTGATCAAGCATCAGAACCTTGCTTCCACCCCGCATGGAGACTCACTGGCTGTAATTGAGCTAGCAGGGGACATGGACGAGGAAACATGGAGGGGGTTGTACACCTCGGCAGCAAGCCACCTGACGCCAGGCAGTAAAATCATACTCACCAGCCGTTCAGAGAAGATAGCATCATTAGGAACGGCACAGTCTCTTGTGCTGAAATTTTTGTCCCAAGAAGCTTACTGGTATTTCTTCAAGACGGCTGCATTCGGAAGCACAGACCCTGGTGAGCATCCTAACCTGGCAGCCCTCGGCATGGAGATCGTCGTCCACATGAACAGATCATTCGTGGCAGCGAACACCGTTGCCAGCTTACTGAGAACCAATCTTGACACACGGTTTTGGCGCAGAGTGCTGAGATGCTTGAGAGATTTTGCAAGCAAGCACCTCAGCATGTTTGGCGAGCACCCGACCAATCTCCTGCAGAAGGACCAGCCTGTGTACATGTGGACAATGGCCAAGACAAGCAATGTCGTCGTAATGCGTGATATTTATCATGAGCCCTCTCCCAAGATCAGTGAGGTTCCCAGGATAACGGCACAGGATGTTTTGTCTGGGCGAGTTATGTCTGAAGGGACATTCCAAGCAGTGGCATGGAGGTCCAGGATACCTCCCTGCTACACCTACTTGGTGAGCTTCATTGTGTCACGGACAGACAAGCACGCGGTGCTCGGTAAGAAGCGGTCTCGGCAGGAGAGAATTTGATGTAAAATGCAATAATGCATAGCTAATATGATTGCAAAGTGCACGCCTTACCTTTTTTTAACAGCGCCCAACATCTCCTCACTTATGTGTGGCGGCTTGCTCCATGGATCTCCAGCTATATCTCCACAAGCCGAGTACTGAACTCAACAGTCCACACTCATCACACAGCATAACCGTCTGGCAGAACTGCTTCAAGCCAGACTGACAGAACCATTTTTATCTGCAAGGCAGGCTGACAGAGAAAACCAGTAGGAAGGAAGAGATGTTACTGATACAAAACCCTGACAGTTAGTAGTCCAACACTACAGAAGAGCAGCAGCATTTTACAAGATCTCTGAGCGATCGTGCCTTTCCCAGTGAAATTACTGCACTGCACATGTAGTCTATATGTAAAGGAAGTATGTTCAATACAATGCAGGGTCAGCTCAGCGCACATATTTGATGTGTTCTAAACTACTCCCCTGTAAGACCTTTTAGGGATTTAACTATAGACTACATACGGAGCAAAATGAGTGAATCTACACTGTAAAGTATGTCTATATGCATCCCTATGTAGTTCATAGAGGAATCTCTAAAAGGTCTTATATTTAAGAACGGAGGGAGTAGCATGGAGCCTGGCCCATATGCAACACAAACTCTATTATTTCTGTCAATTCATTTATACTTTCATACTTTCGTAGCCCAAATCAAATTCTTATTGCGTACTGAAATAACATGAACATTTCTAGGTAGCAGCTTTGGCAGAAATCAGGTATTCCAAGGACCCACAGTGTGAATAGACATGAGTTTCACATAAGGATGAAAATCAAGCATAACCAGGGACCGTTATTGACATACTAGAACAACATTTAGGGTAGTCTAGCTCTGGCTATCCAATCTGAGAACATCGCGGAACCGCACAACGAATCCGCCACCCTCCTGCTAGACCCGTAGGCACTAATTACCAACCAAGCCGTCGCAGAGGTCAGGGAGGGAGGACGAGCCGAGGGAGCAGGGCAGGTCCTGGTCCAGATCCGGGGCGGCGGCGGCGGCGGTCTTGCTGGCGAGCTCCACCGCGCGGTCAAGGAGGCTGCGTGGCAGGAGGTCCGCCGGCGGAGGCAGTCGCTGGTGGCGCTGCAGCCACCACGCGACCGCGGCCGCCCTTGCCGCGCCTCCGCTGATGGCGCTCCCCGGCATCGGATCGCCTTGCTTGCAGCTCGCAGGACGCCGCGATACTCCGAGAGGGTGGGGGAAAGCGGACCTTGAGCACTTGACGTGAGGAAGAGCCGAACGAAGTGGTTTGCGACTGCCCCAGATATCTATAGGCCCTTTATCGGCTCACATTTTCTGTATGGGCCGAATGCTATCCTTCTGCTTCTGTTTTCTTTTTCCAAAAGAATTCCTGTTTTCACCCTCTACTTAAACATTTCTGAGGCAAATAACTCCATTCAACAGTTTTTCATCCAGATTACCTCTACTTCTAATGAAGCGGTTGGTAGCCTGATACTCCGATTTTATTTTCGTCCAGTTTTATTTCCTCTCACCTCACACCACCGTTGTACCATTGGTTTCTTACCCATTGGTTTATCTTTCTCTTCACTTTTCCCCCCAAAGAAATCAACACTTTCCTAGCGTACTCCTATCAATACAATTTGCTTTAGGAAACACATAATATATTTTCAGGAAAAAATAATGAATTTTAAGGAAATTAACAAGCAAACCATGACAAACAAATCTTACTGTAAAAGTATTATATCTCTGCTCATAAAACAGGAGTCGTTCATTGTATCTAGGCTCCACGATCAAAGGAATCCCACCGATTTTTTTCACTATCAAACCCCACGTCCCCACCTTCCATTCTGGTTTTTTTAATCTCCCGTCACGGTTCCTCTTCCGGTCTCCCGAAGGCACACATGCCCCCACGAGGCCACGACCACACATGCCCCCACCCCATCTCCCCTTCCTCCCGACCCTTAGCCCTAGCCCCTGATCCTGTCGCCATAATCAACGCACGGACAGAGTGGCGGCGCCCGCTCGGCTCCGCCGCAACGACCGCAGCCGGCACGAGGCATCGCTCTAGGTGGCGTGGCGGTGACCCAACACCCGCGACCGCAACCACCCGCAGTGTAGCTGCTCATGGCGACGGTGGTGCACGCTTACTCGCAGCCACCGGTGGCTGCTCCCCATCTTCAGATGGTCCCGACACGGTCGCAAGCGGCGCGACGACACCCTTCACTACTACCCCTCCGAGCGTCCGCGACTGCAGTTACGTTTCTTCTCATCTTGGCGTCCTCCGGATCCGCCATCACCGATGCCGCGCTTTTCCCATCCGCGACCTCTCGGTGTTATCTGATCCCCGATGTTGTCTCTGTCCATGAAACCTC